TGTGTTACATTTTACCATGAGATCACCAATGGCAAAGGTAATCCGTTCCAAACCTAAGGCAGTACCAAAGTGTTACAGCTCTTGGTTAAGTTGCAGTGCCGAGCACAGCAGAGGTATGGGCAGAAGCTTACAGCCAAGACACAGGCTTGGCAGGGTCCATCCCGGTGTCGGGGAGGGGCAGGCCTGCGGGGTGAATGAGGACTCTCAGGCAGTCATGGTGGAAGGCTGATGGAATCAGGCAGCCAGTCAGCAGCGTGCATGCACCCCAGCAGCAGTTTATTTGAAATCAGGGGTTTACAAACCTTGAGCAGTGGGCGGGGTTTTGAGGGTAAATGTGTTTGATTCGCTGGGGTCAGGGGTCAGGGATACTTGATTTACAGGTAATGATACAGCACCTCATTTTCCTATCACAGGAAGAACACAGCACTTAATTATCCTAGAGGAGGGGGGAATCTCTAAGTACAGTTGAAGGTCACTGCTGGAGACTAAGATGCTCAGCAGGGTGGGGCATTTCTGGGAATTCCCAGATGCTTGCTAGACTGGTTTTGTTGTCAGGAAAGGGTCTGGCTTGTAATCTGCCTGAGGGCGGTGTGACACTCCTTACAAGACCTGGGGTCATCCAGATCAGGGGAGACTTTTAGCACCCTCCGAGGAAAGGGTGTGTGTCCTCACAGACTGAGCACAAGTTAAATGACTGACTCTAACCTTATCCAGCAGGGCCCCACACTTACAGCTTCAGAAGAAATACAGATCACATCCTTTTGTCCCTGGACAAGGGTTACAAGTACAGAGAGAACAGGTATTATCAATCTCAAATCATTTTAGACTAGGTAAGCTTTGATAACATATGACATTCTGTTTTCCAGGAAAGCAGACAGAACAAATCTGAGTCAGTCTAGAAGAGTCCCCAGGCCTTGAACAAGTGTGCTGAAGAACAACTTGTGAGTTAGCCTAGCTTAAATTTGAAGGCTCTCCCAGGCTGTAGGCTGACTTGTTCTATTCATTTATTGTCTCTGCCTTTTTTAGTTAAAAGACCTCACTGTAGCTTAACGTGAACCTGTCTCCTCTGATTAATAAATTCTTATATTTTAATATTAATTTTATGTCATTTCTATATTATCAGAGGTTGTATTAGGTAAACTAACTTTTCTCCTGGGGCCAATGTCCTGTAGACTATAGGAAGAAGCCTACTGCCAAGTTTATTGTTTCTGAGTTGGCTTAGTTCTCTTAGTGCCAAGAGAACGCTGGGGATCCCAACTTTTTTGTGCTTTTTACAATCTCATGGCAAGAAAGACTCCTGAAAGGGTCAGATAAGGTTACTTCTTTGAGAGCAGAAATAATTTTCTGGGAAAAAGATAGAAATAAATCATAATGTAAAAAGTCCCCCACAAATGCAAATTGAGACAAAAAACGCAAGGTGAAAGACAGCACAGTGGCACAAACAGCATGAGGATGGGCTCTGCTGGACTCGGTCATAGCTGTTCTGGCGTCATGGTTCTTGCCTTTTTCTTCACTAGTCATGGCTGCACAAAACACCTTCTTGCTTCCAGTTCCATTTCACTGTAATGATTTTTCCATGCTTTCAGGTGGTATCTCTCTATTGCTGAAAACAGTGTTCTGCCCAGTTCACGAAGCCCAGAAGACCAGGAATAACTAGACTCCGCTGTAAATACATGAGGTTCTTTTTATTATAAACCATTACAAGCTGCAGCCCCATGGCTGAAGTGGTGAGAGCCGAGAGCCCCGTGCTCAGGCTAGTTGGATGATTTAAAGATTCCAGTCCCTCCCAGCATGCCCAAGGCAGGGGCAATTCCTGCCTGGCAAGCATCTATTCGTCAAAATGCTACATTTTTAATTGACTGTCTATAGGAAGGTCCCCAGACCATTAATGATCTAGTGTCCCTCTCTAGGGGGAATGGGCCAGTTTCCTAGCAACTGTATCTCTAGTGGGTGGGGAAAGAATGCAGTGAGGCGGTTCTTCCCCTCAGGGTATTCCTGGACTTCTCCACCTAGCTAGTTCAGGCCTTAAATATTAATAATAGCTGATTTTTTAATCTTTTGGTCTCTCAACAGTTTTAGGAAGGAAATTCATAGCTTTATTTTAAAAATCAGAAAGAGGGGCTGGAGAAATGTCTCAGTGACTGAGAGTACTGGCTACCTCTGGAGGACCCAGGTTTGATTCCAGCATTTACAGTTTACAACCTTTGCAACTCTAGTTTCAAGAAAATTGTTGCTCTCCTCCAGCCTCTACAGGGTGCAAAGACATACATATAGGCAAGAGACCACATACATAAAATAAAAAATATTTAAGCTATTTTTAAAGATCAGTGCACAGAAAAGACTTAGTGATGGTGAAAGGGTCAGACTAACTTTGTAACCTATATGTCTTCTAAAGCCTATAGTTTTGAGTTTTAGGTCCAGGTTAAGCTAAAGCCTCTTAGTACCCTTCCAGAGAACAGAGGAATGTGACCCTATCTGTGAGGACAAATATTAAAAAAAGCGAGCAAGCAATGACCTTCACTCAGCAAAAAGAACGACCAGACCCTTGTCTTCGCGATAGTGTTATGCCAGGTTCACAGGACCCTAAGAGACCACCAGGAGACGACTCAATGCAATTGCAAGAGAGCTTTATTACGAGAGCGATCGAACTCAGGACCCAAGTCTCACTGGCGCAGCAGTAGAGAAGTGGGACCCCGAGCTCTGAGTGAACAGGATTTTTAAAGGGAAAGTCTGTGAGCCGGGGGGGTTCCATGGCAGCAAGAAGGGGGACACAAACCTTGGCGTTACAGAATTGGGTGAAGCTTAGCAGGGCAGGGTGACCTTTTCTGAGGCACACAATCACAATGGCTAAGGCATATAATCACAATGGCTATTTTTCTAAACCATATCTGAAACATTGGGGAGAATTTTCCCACCTGATTCTCAACCGATTCCCATTGATTATTGCCAGGGAGTTTGTCTCTATTTTCTATGAAGCATTTATTCTGTTATATTTCCTGGAGGCTGTTGCTAGGAAAGTTAACTTTGTTTTCTGCCAGGTGTACATTCTGTGATATTTCCTGGTGCCTGAATTCAGTTCCCAGTCAAGATCTTTATTTCAAAATGGAGTTATATTCAAGCTATCTTAAGCTCTTCAATAGTGTTTCTTAGCAACAACCAGGATGGCCTCAATCCTTCTTCTGAGTAGACTCTGACCTCTGGCCAAAAGTCCGCAGCCCCAATCTTCAAGGATGAGCTAACCCCCCCCCCTTTAATTGCAGCTGCATCCACACTTGGCAGGACTGGCCAAGCTTGAACCCCTAAGACGAACCAATTATCGTACTTTATAGCTTCCTGATCCAATCCTGAATTACCAAGACGGCAACTTCAAAATTCCCGCGTCTTGTCCTTTAAAAACCCAAGGCCTTTGTCTCCCGGTGCCACTCCTTGCTGACCAGCAGGGGTGACCCCATTGCGCAAGGGTCAAAATAAACCTCTTGGGATTTTGCATCGGACCGAGACCGTCTCCTGAGTTCTCTTCTCGAAATTAGGCTCGTGCTGGGCCTAACAATAGAACCCCCAAAACTGGAAAAACAAGAATAAACCAATCCCAAATTCAGTAGACAGCAAGAAATAAATATCAGAGCAGAAATTAATAAAATAGAAACAAAGAAAACAATATAAAGAATTGCTAAATCTAAGAGTTGGTTCTTTGAGAAGATAAACAACAAAGTAGCAGAACCTTGGCCCAACTAGCCAAAACAAACAAAGAAAGGACTCAAATTAACAAAATAAGAAATAAACAGAGAAACAATGGACACCAAGAAAATTCAGAATGTATATGGGAGTACTTTGAAACCATGCACTCCATTAATTTGGAAAATCTAAAAGAAAGGGATGTATTTCTACATTCACCCAAACCACCAAAGTTCAAGACTAGCCTGGTCTACAGAGTGAGTTCCAAGACAGCCAAGGCTACACAGAGAAACCCTGTCATAAAATTAAAATAAAATAAAATAATAAATAAAATAGCAAAAACAAAACCCTAGATGTTGGAAGGGGAAGAAATATTCTTCCCCAAGGCCCCTAAGTGGTTAACCAATACCAGGCAGCTCTGAAATCATGTCCTTGATAACACCACTGAATGGACTGAGCAGATAATAGTGTTTATATGTGTGTGTAATGTATATACGTGTGTGTGTGCGTGTGTGTGTGTGTGTGTGTAACAATAAAAAAAGAGGACAGGAATTGAGAGAGGGTGTGGGGAGGGAAATGGCATGGAAGGAAAGAGCTGGAGGGAAATGATGTAATTATATTGTAAGAAAAATTAAAATACTTTGAACTAAATAAAAATAACTTATTTTAGCCCTTTATTTTTTTTTTTTAACAAAACTTTTTCTGTCATTTCGAACTGTAGGGAGCAACAGTGCGTAAAATCAGGTCTAGGGACTAGAGCCACCTCCAAGCCACAGCATAGAGGCGAAGCCTGTTCTCTGGGTCTACAGCGGCGTGGCCTGGCAGGAGTGCGGGTCAGGAAATGCCTCCAGCTGGTGGCCTGAGAGGACAAACCAGGCTCTGCTGCCGGACCCACGCTGCCTGGGCCGCTTGAGTGCTCTCCTGAGCAAGTGCCGTTGGAGTCGGAGTGGAAAGGAGGCAGCGCGCGGAGGCCAGGGCCTCCCAGGGGTCGGCCCGCAGGCTGGGAGCGGGCCAGGCCTCGCTCAAGGCAAGCCAGCGCGGCCAGAATGAGCCTGCGGCCAGGATGGGCCTTTTCTTCCTGAGAAAGCTGTTCCACACACACCACGCCGAGGCCTGGGTGGTTCTGAGGGTGGAGACGGGACCCGGTTAGGAGAGAGGACAAAAGAGGCGCAAAGCTGACGCTGGAGCGGAGAAGGGGTGCGCAGAAGGCGCGGGCGCTGCGGGAGCCTGGAAGTCCTGACTCCCCACGGAGGCGAGGGGGTGGCCCGAGAGGCTCGTGTGGTCGCGGAGGGGCGGAAGGGGCGAGGCTGGGACGGGCGGGGCGCGGGTAGGCGTGCGCTCACCGCCGCGGCCGGAGCCGCGCGCACAGCCCTCACTTGTGCTCCCAGGGAGCACCCCCCACGCCGCCGCCCAGGAGAGTAAAGCACGCCGCACGCTCCCCAGAAGGGGTCCAGGAAGACGGCGGCCGGGGGCACGGAGCCGGGTGAGCGCAGTCCGTCCTCCCCGCGCGCACAGCGCCCGCAGAGCGCCGCGGCCAGCCGACCCCGGTTTCCTCTCGCGGGTTCGACGCCATCGGAGTTGTGACACGAGCGCAGCTCTAGGCCTTGCTTTACCGCGGCGGCGGGGGTCTCGGCCTCGCTCCCCAGTGCACGGGAAGACCGAGAAAAGCCGCCCTCCGCGGCGAGGGGGCGACTGCGGACGAGCCTGGCTTCCGGGCCTGGGGCGGCGCGGCCGGGCGGGCTCGCCATGCGGTGGCCGCCGTGCCTGCTGCTCGGGCTGCTCGCTCGGGTCTGGGGGCCGTCCGAGGGTGAGCGGCGGTGCGCGCAGACGGGCGGAGAGCGGGGGCGCGGCGGGCGGCGGGCCGCGCTCGCTCACGCCGCGCTCCGCGTCTCCAGCCCGGCAGAACTTCACCCTCCGCTGCCTGCAGATCTCGTCCTTCTTCAACAGCAGCTGCTCGCGCACAGACGGCGCGGCCTGGCTCGGGGATCTGCAGACTCACCGGTGGGACAATGCCTCCGACGCCATCCAGTTCCTCAGGCCCTGGGCCCAGGGCACATTTAGTAACGAGCAGTGGCAGAAGCTGCAGCGCGTGTTTCAAGTGTATCGGCTTAGCTTCACCAGGGACATACAGGAATTAGTCAAAATGGTTCCTGAAGGACACCTACACTGTGAGTGGAGGGAGCCCTGAACAGGTACCCGTGGGTGAGAGCGGACCCAGAACCCCAGCTGGAAAGCTGTGGACTGCCTGATGGGAGTCTCTGCTTCCTCCCCTCCTAGGGTTTTTTCCTTCTGTCTGAAGATAGCCCCGTCCCTTCTGAAAACAGTCCATTTCTGCTCCAGAACACGCACGATCATTTCCCTCAGCTGGGACCTAACTACAACTTTCATGCCACTTTCTTCTCTTTTCTTCCAAACGTCTAAATCATTCCTTAGTCTCTACCTTCTCCTCTTTACAGATCCCATTGAGCTGCAGGGGTCTGCCGGCTGTGCCTTGTACCCTGGGAATGCTTCGGAGAGCTTTCTCCAAGTAGCCTATCAAGGAGAACATATCGTGAGTTTCCAGGGAACTTCCTGGCAGAAGGCCCCGGAGGCCCCACCTTGGGTAGAGCTGCCCATCAAGGTGCTCAACAGGGACCAAGGGACAAAGGAAGAAGTGCAGCGACTCCTGAATGACACCTGCCCCCAGTTCCTCCGTGGCCTCCTGGAGGCAGGGAAGACAGACCTGGAGAAACAAGGTCAGCCTGCTGTTTTTACCCTGGCTCTCCATTTGGATCCGTTTAGGTTTTCGCACCACTGTCGGCCGTAGAGAAAGGGCCAGGCCTAGGAGGAGGTAAGGAAGGCGTGTGGGTTTATTCTTTTAACTGAGAGCGCTCTTGGATTCCATGCACTGGGTTAAACAAACAGGTGTCAGAAGTAAGCCCGATGGTATTGGAGACATGGGGGAAGAGCTGAACTCAGGGTGTCCCACAGTACAGAGGAGGGACGCTCAGGGAGGGAGTAGAGGCGTCAGGGATGGCTGTCCCGGCCCCCGTGATACAAATGGACTAAACGAACAGGTGACTTCACCTCCAGAAGTGGGCCTGTGGGACCCCTGGGACCCCGACGGAGAAGTTTCTTCTTTAAGAAATCTCTGGTCTTTACTCTCGCTGGATACAGAGAAGCCTGTGGCCTGGCTGTCCGAAGGCCTCAGCTCTGCACGCGGCCACCGGCAGGTGGTGTGTCATGTCTCCGGCTTCTCCCCAAAGCCTCTGTGGGTGATGTGGATGCGGGGTGACCAGGAGGAGCAGAACACTCACAGAGGTGACGTCCTGCCCAACGCTGATGGGACGTGGTACCTCCGGGCAAGCCTGGACGTGGAGGCTGGAGCCGCGGCTGGCCTGGCCTGCTGGGTGAAGCACAGCAGTCTGGGAGGGCAGCCCATCGTCCTCTACTGGGGTAAGAAGAAAGTGTAGCCTGGCTGAGCGTGAGTAGAGGCATCCTTCAAGTGCGGAGGGAGAAGCAAACAAACTTCATCTCGGAGATGTAGCCTGTGTGATAGGAGCAAGAAGGAGGGAATTCTAGCTAGAGAAAGAAATCCCAAGAGATCTGGGATAAATGTTCTATCTGTAAGAAGAAAGGACACCGGAAACTCAAAGGTCCAGAGGCAAGAGGCACATGAAAGGTCCAGGAAGATCCTTGCGCAGTACAGAGGACCAGCGCTCAAGGCACTGCATTACACGCCTCCTCTGTGAGCACCGGCCTCTTTGCTGCCAGCGCTGCGGTTCAGTTCATCACTTAGCTTTGAAGCAAGTACTGTTATTCTGACTTGAAGGAGGAAGAAGTTGATGCTAAGATAGAGTCACACAGATGGTTGACGAGCTGGGGGTAGGCAGATTTACATCTGTCTGGATGGTATGCAGCCAGATTCTCACAAGATATGGTCAGTCTGAAGTCCCGAGGAATAAAAGGTTTACGCTAAAGGAAGGCAGAAATAATTGCACGGCTCCCTGGCACACGCGATTGGAATAGGCACCGTGAAGCAGGGGTAGGGTCTTCCTCTGGAGACACCTCTTACTCCTCCAAAGCAGGTGGCAAGCCGTTAACCGCGGGCCTGGTGACCCTGATCGCCTTTGTGCTCCTCACAGCTGTGTCCTGTGTGTTCATCGCCGTCTACCACGCCCGGAAGCGCTGGTGAGTCCTTCTTCTCCACGGCCCCTATGGTCAGCATCCCTCCTTTCTTCCCTCCTTTCTCTCCTGATGGCCTCTCTCTTTCCTCACAGCTTCTATCAAGACATCCTGTGACCCTAGCACCTGCCTCTCCCGAAGCTCAGACCCTTCAGCTCTCGGACTTCAGTCCCGTCTGCTCAGGGACCGAGCAGCACAGGGAAGAGCCCTGGAGAAAGGAAGAGCAAGCCAGCATTCTTATAATGTTCAAAGGGTGTTGATTTATTTTACAAGTTTCTAAGCTTGGGTGCTTCAGAACAAGCACAGTCGCCGATGTGTAATTACAGGAACAAGCTGTGGGCAGTGTTTCGGGGAATTTGCACTGAACTGGAAAGCCACTTCCCACCCACACAAGTGCATCGGGGTTTGTTGGCAAGGGTAAAGTCCAACATGGCTGTTCTTTGTACTTTTCAAGATAACTAGAAATATGGATTTTTTTTATGACAAACGGATTTTTAAAAGTGTTAGATGCCGACACTTTAAGGGAGTGTCAGATACCAACCTGCTGGCTAACGGCAGGCCAAGGGCTTCCAGTCTATGGCTCTTTAAAAAGTGCTTGTCCTAAATGGCACAGTGACTGTTTCAGAAAATCGTCTCTATTGCAAATTTGCATTAATGACTGAAAGGTGTTTTAGCTTTAAAATAAAATTAAAATGTAAGATGCAGAGGTGTCCAGAGGTTTCACTTGGAGTGTCAGTATTTAAAAACGAGAAATCATCAAATATACCTATTTTGTTGGAAAAAGAAAAACCTACTCTCCTTGGGTTATTTCTCTCAAACACGGCTATAATGTGCATCTAGAACATACCTCAAGGCCCCGACGGTGAAGGTTTGGTTCCCACCCTGGCACTGTTAGGAAGCGTTGGCTACCATCTGCAGGTGAAGAGAGGAAAGTTGGTGTCCGTGCTCCCACTGTCATAGCAGCACAGCTTCCCTCACAGGTCCTTGCTTGCTTGCAACAGGACTGTAATTCCTGGACTTAGAGGGAACTCGAGGATTTTTTTTTTTTTTTTTTGTAATCTGAGAAAGATAACAGTAGGACAAGCAAGCAGGAGATCTGGGAAGATTCCAGGCGTGGGAAATGGAATAACAGTTATGTCTTCAAGAGCGTCAGGGAATCACACACCTTGAGAGACAGTAGACACATTAGTTCTCTGATACGAGCGTTTGTTCCTTGCAGTTTCTGCTGAAGGAACAGAAAACCACTGACCTCCCTGGGGGAAGAGGGCCTTGAACTCAAAGTCAAATTTTACCCTTTGGGGTATCAGGGAAGAAATATTTAATATTATTTGGTTTGGCCTTGTGTTATACTAAATGCTTATCTGGTGACCTGGCTGAACTCAGGCTGTATATAAGATAGGAAGAAAGAAAAGCTAGCTACAGAAATTGTCAGTTTCCCATTTAGGGCGTTTTTGTTTAGTTGGTTTTGTTTTGTTTTGTTGAAGCTATTTAACCCCCCTGACATGGTTGTCTTTAATCTGGGAATGAGTCACAAGTGATTTCCTAAAAGACCAGTGCTGATTTACTTTCAGTTTAGCCCAACAATTGGAAATAAATTAGAACTTGGCAATTTTCCATTATGGTGTTTTAAATGTGTTCTTTTATTTTTTTAATCTGTAATATCCTGTTTACCACAGAACTTCTACATTGACAGTGCCATTTAGAGGCAGTTGGCAACCTGAGTTTTATGTCTCAAATGATGCCTGGGAAGTAGTGGGCGCAGAGGGGAACATCCTCTATTCCATGCAGTATCCCCTGTTCTTGTTTGGGGGCTGGGGACAACGGAGCCCTTGCTGTCCGCTGTCCCCTTGCTTCCTGGTTGCCATGATGGAAGTAGCTTTGCCCACAACACACCTTCACCCTTGGCCTCTCAACAGCAAATACGATAGGGCCAAACCCTGTGAAACTATGAATCAAACCTTTCAATCTCTAAGCTACCTCTTTCAGAGGTATTTATCACAGTGATAAAAATATGACTGATTAGAAATTGTCACATTTTTAGCTTGGAAGATGATGGTCTTGAAGGTATTATCTACAAACAAACCATTGTATCTCCTTGTAGAAGCTAAAACATACAGTATGCGGAAAGGGCAGATACACTAAACATATATCATGAAACGTTACATCTGTGAGTTACTTACAAAGCAGGGAAATCAAGGTCGCAGACCCCAGATGTGGCGGATCATTTTGGAGCTTAGGGTCGGTGGAAACCAGGGGTATGTTTAGGTATTCCAAAAGGATTTACCTGAAAGTCTAGATGGTGTTAGGTAACACATTTTACTGATGGGACTAAAGGTAACCCAAGCTGGCTCCCAGCTTGGAGCAGCCCATGTCTCACAAGCATAGAAGTCTTACAGGCTTTTCAACACGGGCACCGATTTCTTTCGGTGAATTTTGGTGCAGACCGGCGCTGTAGGGGTTAGATCTTGGCACGCACACTGCCGCCTGTGGGCTTCTACCAGAGCGCCCCTGACAGCGCTGCCTGAGCCCCACAGGTTGCTGTCAGCTGCAGTCCAGCTCTGCCTCCGACAACACAGGGACCTCCAGTTCCAGGAACCTGCAGTAGGGTTCTCACTAACGCCCTCCGCCTGGGCTGACCGAGTCCACTCTTCTAGGCTGTTGCTTATGGGATTCTCGCCTTGGCAATGCGGATTCCTGTGGAGCCTCCTATTACCAATAGGTGCGCATTTCCTCTGGTGTAGGCGTTCTATTAAACTTCCTCTAACTCGTGGGGTTTATTTCCTACTGGGCTCTCTTGATACATGCACCGACTTGGTTGCCTGCATGAATCTCTGTGTAACCTACTGTGAATCTCTAATGCGCAGCAGTAATGGGATTGGGATAGAAGGAAATGGGAAAGGGGGAGTGTGATCACAACGCAGTGTATGCAAATTAGAAGCCGTCAAAAGTTTAAAACAATTAAAAATACATGCCAGTTTGTGTTTCTCTTAAATGAAATTCCAAATTGTTTTTATTATTTATTATATAATACTGCATTTATTTATTTATTTATTTATCTATTTATTTATTTAAACTTTTTTTTATTAATTACACTTTATTCATTTTCTATCCCCCCATAAGCCTCTCCTTCCTCCCCTCCTGATCCCACCCTCCCTCCCCTTTCTTCATGCATGCCCCTCCCCAAGTCCACTGATAGGGGAGGTTCTTCTCTCCTTTCTGATCTTAGTCTATCAGATCTCATCAGGAGTAGCTGCATTGTCCTCTACTGTGGCCTGGTAAGGCTGCTCCCCCCTCAGGGGGAGGTGATCAAAGAGCAGGCCAATCAGATTATGTCAGAGGCAGTCCCTCTTCCCATTACTAGGTAACCCACTTGGACACTGAACTGCCATGGGCTGCATCTGTGCAGGGGTTCTAGGTTATCTCCATGAATAGTCCTTGGTTGGAGTATGAGTCTCTGGGAAGTTCCCTGTGTTCAAATTTTCTTGTTCTGTTGCTCTCCTTGTGGAGTTCCTGTTCTCTCCAGCTCTTACTATTTCCCACTCCAAGAGTGTTTTTTTTTTAAAGTACATTAATAAAAACTTGGGGATGAGAGGAATCTTACAGAAAAACTCAAGGTTGCAAGCATTATGGCCCTAAGTAAACACAATTTTGTTATTTTTTAGGGATCTATTTATTATTTATATAATAGTGTGGGCCTGCAGGCCAGAAAAGGGCACCAGATCTCATTATAGATGGTTATGAGCCACCATGTGGTTGCATGGGAATTGAACTTAGGACCTCTGGAAGAACAGCCAGTGCTCTTAACCTCTGGGCCATCACCCCAGCCCCAATTTTGTTATTTTTTAATACCGCTGCCTGAGAAACAGCATGCAGCTGAACTCCATCTAGGGGAATTTTTAGTTTTTATTTCCAGGGTTGTGTCCTCAAAAGCAAATCAATAAAAATTGCCTCTGGCCTTAGCATAGGTGCTTCTAAACACAGCCTCTCTGCCTTGCTCCTCAGGTGATCTGTTGCTTTGTTTACAATTCTCAGGGTTGCATGCATTTTTCTAAGGTAACACTGGACTTCGACAGCACTGAGCACTTGATCTTGATTTCAGTACTTCTTTGACTTTTGATTATTTATTTGATTGAAAGAAATGCTAATTTCAGGGGTTAAAAAATTATTGTTAAAAAATTAATAATGACAAGTGGTGCTTGGGGAATAATGACTTACTCTAGATAACTCAGTCCTATTTGTTCAGATTATAACATGAACTAAAAATAAGTGAAAACATACATAATGTATAATTTACTACAAGTTTGACCTCACTTTTTGTATTGTCCAGGTCAGATCTGAATTTGTCTGTGCCTTCTGTCATGGTGTGATTTCAGCTGCCTTGACTGTGACTTTTTGTGTGGCATCTATGACAGCTCTGTATACTAAACTTAATTCCTGGTTCCATCCTAAAAGTCTGGTAATCTTACATAGATTACTGAAAGTCTTTTGCTACTGTTTTATTTTCATAATTTTGATGAACTATGTATAACAAAAATTGCCATTTGACCATTTAATTTATAATTCACTGGATTAGCAATATTCACAGTATTGTATAATTTCTGTCCATTTCCAGAACTTTTTTCATTATCCCCAATGTCTTTAAATATGAAAAATTATAATATAGTATTAGATGTTATAGGTTATTTTATGTGGTTACATTCTCAATATACTTTAGCAATTTTCTCCAACTAGTATAACTTGCAACTTCTTTTAAGGAAATGGATTTTGTATTACATGCTTAAAACATAAGGTAAAAGATATTCATTTCTTTTGACTTGAACGTATTGGTTATGTCTATAAGAAGAGAACATATTTATGCGCGATAGTCTCTGCCTTTTCTAACTTTAAAAACTATGAGGTGCTTACTGTGGATTGAGAGGTGCTGTGTCCAGTATACAACATACACATGTATGAAAGCTTCAAAACCAAAAGCCCACTGAGCTCGGAACTAGGGCAGAGACTAGAGCAGAGAATGAGAGCGTGTGCTTGGGCTTTAGAGAATCACGGGACATGTAAAGATCCTGCTTCTGTTCATGTGTGGACTCAGAGCCTACGCTTCCTCGTTGAGCTCTAGGTCAGGCTGTGAATTCAGGGTTAGTATACATGAAAAGCGTAGCCAGCTACTACGTGGTTGCAAACTTCTCTGATACGTACATACGTTGACGCATGCAGTGTGTAGATATACACTATGTATGGGCTGGGTCTGGAATTCATATGATAATACGTTCAACCCAAATCTATTTAGTTCACAAAATGATTGGTAGCCGTAAGAAATTTCTTACGTGAAGTTAGTTTAACTCTGCTGTCAGTTACGTTGACAACAAGAACATTTGCTGCCTCGCCAGGCATCCCTCTGGTTGGTAGCTTGAGAGCGAGGCTCCTTGCCCTTCACATCCTCGAAGCTGTGTTGCTGGCTTGTAAATCTGGTGTAGAAAATAACCAAATGGCCCAGACCTGCATCTTTTAAGTTGTTGGAAGATATTTTTCACACCCGTGATGTGATTCACCCAAACCTAAGACTTATTACAGTCACTTTAGTTGTAAATGTATCTTGTCTTCAGTGATGTAATCTCTACTTTTAAGATTGCTGTGTTAGAAATCACACCCTCAGTCCTACCGTTCTCCTCCTTCTCCAGCTGAACTGAGAACCCTGGAGTCTGTGGTT